TTACCACAACCCACAATAACTTATACCATAAACGCTCACAAACCACTAACCTAACCTAATGACCAATTGTGTGAGTGTGAGGTACCGTATTTCGAGGTCACAGGTGGCAGGAGTATTTCTTAAGACAATACAGGATGGACGAGTTCTTCATGGTGCAGGCAGGAAGGTCTCGTGTTTACAGAAGATCGTCGTTATTATTATTATAGTTTTATCGTTATTAATATTGTTTTTATTATTTTTTGTATTATCATTATTATTTTTAATTATTATTCGTATTATTATTATTATTATTATCATTATTATTATTACATTTATATATTTTGTCTTTCCGATAAAACACCTCACCGGCATACTCGCTTATTCAGCCATTCAACATTAGGGTGAGCTGCGAGGGTTGTGTGGTTAAGTGACACCTGGCGACTGTTACTGGACAGGAATACCTTTATCTTAGGTAGCTGTTACGATACCACCTCACACACACACACACACACACACGGTCCAACCTTTTCTCACATCACTTATCTACACACTCTCTCTCTCTCTCATTTTTTTTATTTATCTTACTTTTTCTCTTCCCGCTCTCTCTCTCTCTCTCTCTTCTTATTTCTTTTACCTTTCTCTCTCCCTACTCCCTTCATTATATTTATTTTACTTTCGTCTTATTATTATTATTATTACTATTATTATTATTCATTTTATTCCTCTCTCTCTCTCTCTCTCTCTCTCTCTCTCTCTCTCTCTCTCTCTCTCTCTCTCTCACACACAGTAACAACAAACCACCAAATAATTGCAGCAGGACCGTCACCACACAAGAATAGCCAAACGAAATATTTACCCACACATCGTCCTTGTCACCTTGACTTTAAAAGCTCCCTGGTCTTATTTTGTTCATTCTTACTCTACGTTCTCGGGGTAAAATAGATCACATGAAGATTAGGAACCCCGGACGATTTCATCCAAACGCTAACCTAATCCAAACCCATACCTAATCTAAACTAACTCCACTTACCAGTACTCTAAACTAAACTAATAAGATCTAGCCTCACCTAATATAACCTAAGTTAATTTAATATAACCTTATCTAACATAAACCTAACTTAAACCTAATCGAAACTAGCCTAACGTAATCTAACCTAACCTAACCTAACCTAACCTAACTCCTCCAGAGAGCGTTATAGTTTGGTTACTCAAGTGAAATAAGCTGGGGGCAAATCTTCGCGGGATCGAAAGATTTACTCTCAAAGATTCCCTAGTCAGACTATATCCCAGCTGGTAGCGTGAGAAAGGGATTTAAATATGTCCACGTGATCCCCGACATAGAGATGGGTATACAAGTTATATAACGTTAGGAAGGTGTAAATTTTGTCTCTGAAACAAGACAAATTTCGGCAAAAATACCAACGATACCAAAAATGGCTTAAAAATCGTTCTGATGGACCACTTATCTACAGTTATGAGGAGGAAATGAACTTACATCACTGATAATCTAAGCTCTGAAGATCGGTCACTCAGTCACTGTCACTCAAGAACTCAGGTATAATTGGATGCTCGCTTGATACGTACTCATATAAAGTTTGCCAGCAGATACAACCAACTTGTGTGGTGCATTCTTACACATACGGAAATCAAGAAAAAACGCACTTATTTATTGACTTATGTTACTTAATAGTGTTTTAAGACGAAAACTTAATACATGCATGTCTACATCGTCTTAAGACTCTATAAGTAATTCCATTCTGCACTTTAGCCAGCGAATATGTGGCTTTGCATGACAATCTAAGCCACCCGTTACTAGCCTAGTATTAAACTTTCACAGGCAATACAAAATTTTTAATATCATAAAAACGGATCACCTGAAGACTCACCACCCCAGTCTATTTCACCTTAAGATTATTCATCCTAACACTATTTTGGGGGGTTAGGTTAGCGTTAGGGTGGTTAATCTTTAGATGAAATAAGCTGAGGTGGAGATTCTTCAGGTAATTAAAAATAACTTATTCCTCCCATCAGCTCATAAAGCAAGCAAAAACGCAAACAAAACAGATCCTATGCAATGGAAGGCGACGTGTGGCAGGCATCAAGAGGCTAGGCAGCGTGTTTAGCCTAGCCTTCGCTCCTGTGCAAACAAACCGAGGATTATCACACCACTCCAACTCGGTGACTGGACGTAATAGCACTGGACGAAATAACCTTGAACGAAATCACACCAGTTTAAGTACCTTTAATTCTTTAGTCCGTTAGTTGCTAAAGTTCGGTTTGGTAATGTTAGGTTAGGTTTTTGTCTAGGTTAAACTAAGTTAGATATGATTAGGTTTAGTCAAGTTAGCTGGAATTTTGTCTTACGACCGAAAGATAGATGAATTTAGGAACAAAAATCCGAAAGGAAGAACCAAATGAGAATAAACTACAAAGAGCTTTAATGCGTGGGGAGGCAGGACATCATCCTTCGTACAGGACTCTGGAAACCAGTGGGCGGGGCGAGCGGCCGCACTGGTCAGTGCAAAATAATGTAATACTACTGTAGATACATGACAATAAATAATACAGTTTTAACCATCACCACCAGGGGTGGGGAGCATATTACACACGATATATTTGAGGAAACTGGAAAAGACATGTACTGTAGTGACTTACATTAGAACATAAGAAATTAAGGAGTCTGCAATAGGCCGGTTGGCCTGTGCATGGCAGCTCCTGTCCAGTTACTTCCACTCTATCACCTGCTTGATAAGTTAATTACAACTTCAAAACTTGCAGCTGGAATGTTATAGAATCTTTCCTGTCCCTCTGAGTACACCTATAGTATATGCCGAGCAGAATGGCATATTGGAACAAAATTTGGGAACACAGTGTCTGGGCTTGTTTAGTCAACAAAGACGGCGGCGCCGAGCGCGCGGTAGCTGCAGGGATATGACGTTATACCGCCTCTAAATTACCTTGGTCTCTCACTGTATGTCAAATACAACTTTAAAATATTAACAATAATTCTCTTGTTGCACATCGCTACAAAACAACCTCATGAAACTGAGTACGGAAGTTTTAAACCTCCTAAACCAGGGGTTCTCAACCAGGGGAAACTGATACTAATATGGAAATAATAAAGGATTTTCAGTATTATATGCATATTATTTGGAATGCACTTTTTGAGGCAGACAATCTTGGAAAGGAGGGGGGAATGACATTCTGACATATGGTGAAAGGGGTGCATGGGGCAAACAAGGTTGAGAACCACTGTCCTAAACAGTCATCTTGTCATTCTTCAGTTTGTATTGTGACTCAAATGTTTAACGTTGTAACTTGTAACCCCTCCAACCGTGATCAACTGATGACGTCATAGGTACACTGCTGTCTATGCAGCTGGGGCCCCGATGCCCTTGACTGTCCCAGGAGAGGGCAATATACATTGTGAAATTTCTTATCTTAATTTTTTGAGTAAGATCAATTTTCGTTTGTAATCCCCACGCTCACCTCTTCCTCTCACCCAGGACATATCAGATAAACACGCGAACTCCCTATCACGCAACAGATAACTACACACTTATATCCTTAAATATTTTCTCTTGTATTTTTTCTTGTAATTGTAGGGCCTTTTAGGGTCATCAAATGTATAGAAACACACAGTTTATTATTATTACACACCGCACTGTTCCTTCACCTTCGTCACCCATCCCATCCTCTTGACTCACCTCAACCTTCTCCACCACCACTTCCACCATCACAACTCCCACCATTACCCCTAGCACCATCTCCCACTAGCAACCTACATCATAACCAGTACACCCACCACCATCACCACCCCCACCATCAGCACAACCATTACCATCACCACCCCCACCATCAGCACAACCATTACCATCACCACCCCCCCCACCATCAGCACAACCTAATCCACAAACATTACCACCATCACCAGCATAACCACGATCACCACCGTTATCAGCACAACCACCACCACCACCACTAGCACAACTTCAACCAATAAAACCAGCAGCATAACCACAATGACTACCACTAGCACAGCCACCACTAATACCACCTCCACCACCCCAGATTCACTTCACCTCTAACACACCCTCAGCAGCCCTATTCGAGTCACAACAAATTCCCTCACCCCCACACACCTGTCCTTCGTCAGTGTCAAAGCCATTCTTACAGTCTGTGCTAGAGAGAAATCGGAAGGTGGAGGTGGAGTCAGCGCCAATACTGAGGTCACTATTGTTTGTATTAAGTATACTGGGTACAGTGTTTCTTGGGGACTGTTGTTGTTACGACCTGTGCTGGAGAAACCTCATTCAATAAACAATGTTATATCCTGTACCTCAATCACCCGTCACCGGTGAAAGAATTCTTACTACAGTCATTTAGGATTACTTGATTTACAGCCATACGATGTTGGAAGCCTCAAACAATACGAAGATAAATATCTCTGGTTCCTGCTCAGACGTTGTGGGTCAGTGACCTTCACAATCTAACTCTATATTGGCACCCACAAGGCGGAGGTCCCTGCCAAATATGACCACTGAAACCCCAGTAGTTCTTCCTGTTGGTGCGGGAAGGTAAACAGACTGGGGTAGATGATTTATGTATTTTATGCAGACGGTAATGAATAAATAGTAGATGTGGTTACAGTTTCCATAAAACCCACTACGCTGTACATCAACACCTCACACTGCGGTATTCATAAATTGACATGTGTTTTCAGTTCAACAACAAAGTGCAATACCACACTGGACTCCATGGAGACGCCTTCATGTCACAGTCAGTGTAGGCGCAGCTAAAGGTCAGCCGGAGCTCGGAGGTCAGTGTCAGGACAGTGTAAGGGGCAGCTAATAAGTCAGTGTATAGACTCACACCTACAGGCATACTGTACTCTAAACACTGCATAAAGTACTGTACGTGATGGGAAAGATTCAATATATACAATTAAATAGAGTAAAAACGGTCAAAATGTTGAAGTAATATTTAACAGGTAAGGAACTTAAACAGTGTAGGGAACTTACCGTGTGTTAACGATGGTTACAGTAAAGGTAGCGCTTCGCCTTGTGTGATGTTACCCGGTTGTCCTCAGCTGCTGCCTGGCATCACTGTGTCTCACACCACTGCTCGCCACTCTTTTCTTCCAGTTATGTTTCCTATTTGTTGGAATTTGTTTGTTTAAAACAATTATACAAAGAAATTGTGTATAGTGATTTATGTTCCATAATAAAAAAAAAAAACTACAGTACTGTATATTCGTTCGTTTGGTTTAAGTGTTGTTTCAATCTTTGTTCACGGATTATCTGGACATTTTTCAAAGATTTTTTTTCTATTTTTGCCTCATTTTACATAAAAAAATATATACGTATCTGATTTATATTCTCTATTACTGGCCTCAGTGGGTCACTCATTAACCTTATTATCATATCCTATAATTCTTGAAGACAATCCACAATAATCCTGAACCACAACCATCAATATGTATTTGTCTTCCACTGAATCCTTTCCTGGCACTCAAAGATGATAGTTTTTTGTTTTAAAAATCCGTGAGTATCAACGAAAGTATACAAAAAAAGAACATCCTACAGCTAAAATTAAGACAGTCGTCAATTTTTTCTCTTACCACCGCGACACCTTGTTAACGTTCATATATCCACGAACAAAATCTACATTCTGTACATATAAACATGTATATGAATATACCAGAAAAAGCCTATTTGTATTGATGAAATGCATTAAATATTACAACCTCGCCTCACTGTCAAAAATAAACGCGTATTCACAACGAGAAGTGAAGTGCCCCCATCAACCACAATTCATAACCCAGCTGTATAAACAAAAGCGGATAATCTCTGCAGATTATATAACGAGCTCTTTCCCATGCACGTTATTGTGTATCTGATGAACGACTTTAAATGAATCGCTGAGTGATAACAGACGGGGGAAGGAAGGGACACACACACACACACAACACCCGACCCTTACACAACACGCCACCGAGACACACTAAGGTAAAAATATCAACCTTACCCCACCAGGCCACCACCACCAAGTCCACCCTACCATGACGGAAGAAAATGGGAACCACTTGCCGCTTCCTGCTGCGGTAACTAAATTAATAAAAGAGAGAGAGCGAGAGAGAGGTGATATTTGGGCTTGTGTACAGGATGATGTTGTGGGGAACGAGTTGTTGGGTTCACACTCAGGATGGGATGGAGAAAGGAAACTCACAATGTGCTCTCTGTATACATATTGTATTGGATGTACAATGGAGCTTGGTGCTGGGAAGTGGCAGCGCACTTACAAGCGTGATGTAGAGAGAGCTGGTTGGTGAGGGTGCTCAGAGGAGGACCAGCTTGTGGGTCGCCATGCTCACCGGCGGGAGCGAGGGCCGCCAGGCAGGAGGAGGAGGAGGAGGAGGAGGTGTCGCTTGCTGGTTGGTGTAGGTAGAAAAGAGATAGGTCACCACGAGGTCAGGCCTTATATAGTGGAGGTAGGTGTGGCTTAATAGTTGACCTCCGTCATGTAAGGCGGCGCTGGTTGACCTAGACCACGAGGCATACACTGGGGAATTCGCGGGGTCGGCTACTCAGCAACAAAAGTGTTTGTAGGGGAGGAATCCACTACAATGTAAATTCTAGGAGAGCGGGACCGGACTCAGGTTGTATGGGGGGGGGGGGTCCACAGTTGGACCAATAAGTGTGCATATAATATACATAAATTTTTAAAAGTACAGTACAGTAATAAAAAATATGTTTAATAGGATAGGATAATAGAGTACTCCGATAATGCAAAAACAACGTGCTGGTCTTTTACTAATAATTATGGACTATATAATGTACAAGATCTGAATATTTTCAAAGAAAAATTTATTAAGACTGTATAGATTGCACACTCGTCATTACTATACTTCAAACCACAAAAGTTAACACAACAGATCTTAATGCAGTAAATCAATGTAACCACAAAATTTAACACAATACGATATATTAAGGTTAGTTACCATAATTAACACAAAATCAAAGCAATTAAAAAAAATCAGGATGTTTAAATAACTGAGCAAAAAAACACTAGCTGACGCTGTTGCATCATCCAAAATACAGTATCTCCTAATTCCTTCTGCCTTGGAGGAGCTAAATCAAAGCTAATTATCACTTTATTTATGTCCATGTTTCTCTAAGCATTCAACAATGCTAGACCATCGAACTGTACTGATTCATTGTAGAGTGCAGGTAACTTAAGATTCCTCTTCAGTCAAATGCTCACATCTGGAGTTAGTGGATAACCGCTGAGGTCACAGCTCAAGTTAAAAAAGCTATCTATGCAGAAAATTCCCATTGTTAAGTTCTTTAGATTAAGGGTTGTACTTTTTTTACTTTAATTTTATCCTCTTCACCACTGATTGGCTCGTTAGCTGCTTGGGCGATCGGTCACGTCTCTGTTAATCACTGTTGGCAAGTACTGAGCATGCACCGGCTCCTGAATGTACCTGAACCCGCTTCAGTGTTGGTCAAGTCTTGTTTTGAAAGAGCTCACACTCGGTGCCGTCACAACACTTTCTGGTAGATTGTTCCAAGAGTTCACAACTCTCACTCCGAAAAAGTTTGCCATCACAGTTTTCTGGACTAGCGGCTTCTTCAATCTTGAGCTGTGACCCCTTGTGGGGCGAGCGTCCGCCAGCTCCAAGTAAGGACACTCGACTGTGTAGTGCCCCTTGAGATGCTCATACACCTCAATTAGGTCACCCCTTGCCCGTCTGTAGTATAAGCTAGGCAAGTTCAGGCGCTCCAATCTCTCAGGGTAGCTGAGGTGCCGAAGTGCAGGCACCAATCTGGTAGCCCTCCTTTGAACATTTTCAACCAACTGACAGTCCCTAGCATATCTCGGGGACCAGACGGGGTGACAGTACTCCAGATGGGGAAGCACTTCACTCTTGAAGATCGTTACGAGGGACGGACCGCCTAGATATCTGAACGACCTTCTTATAAGACCCAATAATTTATTTGCCTGATTTACCTTCTTCTAACAATGGCCCGAAAACTTCAGCTCATTGTCAACATACACACCTAGGTTCTTCTCACATTCAGTCACAAATAGTGCAGTTTTTTCATCTCGTTGGGACATATGATACGCCTTCTTACACTTGGTACGCTCCAGGTGCATCCTCTTACACTTCATGACATTGAATCTCAGCAGCCATTTCTTCAACCATTCTTGTAGCCCACAGAGATCCTTCTGCAGCTCTTCGCAGTCCGCATGGTTCTTGATTTCCCGAAATAACTTGGCGTCATCGGCAAACATTTATATGGAGGAGTGTACGTCAGGCATGTCATTTATAAAACAAACAAACAACAGTGAGCCCAACACACTGCCCTGTGGTACCCCGCTTGTGACAGGCACGGATGATGATTTCGTGCCATTAATCACCACACACACACTGCTTGCAGTCGTGTAGAAAGTCTTCTATCCACGCGAGGATATTTCCCCGAATTCCGTACCCTTCCAGCGCAATCACTAACGTCGGGACTCGAAAATACGTAATTTGAAAAAATTTGAGTACGACTGCGGCGGTTGTATGTCCGGGTGGTCGTCAGTCGGTATATATATATATATATATATATATATATATATATATATATATATATATATATATATATATATATATATATATATATATATATATATATATATATATATAGATAGTCACGTCTTGCCATCACATTTTGGCAGGTAAACCATTGCTGACACACGGGTGCCGTTCACCCTGGCGTTCTCGTCTACGTTGCCAGCTCCAGCAACAAAAGGCATCATCAATCAGCCAATCAATATTGCGTAGTAAATCGTGACATCACAACCCGGCAACTTTCCCTGTGAGTCGTGCCCATTTAAGGCCTGGATATTAGGGAAGGAATATCCTCTTCTCTCCCTCCAACAACCTACAGCCTGTGTGCTTAAATTTTTTCCAGCACAAACCTGAGCCACATTTCTAACCTTTCATATATTTCATGCCAATCTTATCGATTCCTTGCCAATATCCTTATCTCTTCAATTTTTCTTTCATCTGTATCAGCATTATTATATTACATTGAGTCTTTTTTTGTGATTAAGTACAGTACAGTATAGTAATCCAGAATTCTCCTACAATATTCTTTTTGAAACATTTATAAAATCTTTTCACATTCCTTTCTTCACATCCATCGCCACTGCAAATTTATCAGAATACTGTATTCTCTTGCATTCTTTTCAGTGATATCAAAATATACCCAAAAGTTAAACTACATTTTCCCTATTCGGTACACTATAGTTCAGCATATATATAACATTCTCCATTTTACACTACAGGTAATGATCAATTTCAACTTTAATTCAAAACATAAAATTATCTAAGACTCACTGGAAATGTTACAATAATCAATACAAGGTATTGAAAAAGTTCTTGATATAGCCTGTCAGTCCATAATCTGTTGTAGTTTCTTTTTTATGTACAATAGTTTGAGGTGATATAGTATCTGGCTGCCTCTACTTCTTCCAGGTGTGTCCTGTGTATTGTACATCATCAAAACTATTGTACAGTTCTTACCAGGTACTTTTGTAATCCACCCAAATTTTAAAAATTTTGATTTGTTTGTGCAACTCCATTAAACTTACTGTATTTATTAATACATATGAAAAAAGTTGATACTGACTGGGAAAAGAAAAAAAATAATATCTTCTTTTACTTTAATGATCTTAGTTATGAACCCTGCACCTTATTCGTCAGTAGATACTATTCTCTTCACCTCATCCTCACTCAGCTAACAGCAAATCATCATCCACTGACTGTCACTCTATCTCTGTTACAATGTGTCATCACATGACCTGTCCATACTTTCATGTCTCATATTGTTAACCATTAAGAATTTAAATAGTGAACATTAAATCACTAAATCATGATGAAATCCTCTATTACAAACCACACTCACTCCATCGTTGATTAATTCTCACACTGTACCATCTTTCTCACTTTTTTGTTTGTTTTTTTTTGTCCTAGTAATTTTTGGTGGTTGGAAGGTAGTCAGGGAAGTTGCACATGATGGACACACGACACTGTAACTGCTCAATACTGTGTCCTGTATCATAACAGTCACCCTGTAAAAGAAAATCAAATGATATGACAGGCATTTCCATGCCCCAGAGTTGCTGAGCTTTAGTGGTATGCATGGAAGAATCAAGGCGTTGAAGAGAGGGATCCCCTGTGACAAGATGATGCGATGGAAGAGGATGTTCACTGATACTAAATAACATACTGTACAAAAAGGTGAAATAAAAAGCAATGATACACATGACAATATTTACATCATATACAAACCTTGTGACATACTGCAATAAACTGTATAGACCTAATCATTATAATATCAGATTTAAGAAAGTCCCGCTCATCAGTTGCCCAACTATCTACTGATGCCAAATATGATTGAAAAAATTCAATAGCACAAAATATATTTAAGGAATGATTGACGAATACTTTACACATCAATTCATAAGAATCTTGTGTAGTGCCATATAAACCGGTTCCCAGTATAAGGTGGGTGGCAGTCTCTTCCAAACAGAACATTCTAGTGAGGCTGGGGTTTGAAAGAGGTTCTATTCTTGACTGGGAAATGGAATATGGCATGGAGATAAATTAACACTGGTGAGACCACATTGATAACTCTAGTGCACAAACACTGAAAAAAAGGTAATAATGATGCCTTAAGGCACCAACAAATACTTGCAGCTTGTTTACTGACTTCTTTATATTATTGTAAAAAACAAAACATCCTAATGTCACAACTAAGAACATTGCTATCTACATTTATATTTTGCATTAAAAAACAAATTCCCCCTTCCCCATAATCAAAACCTAAATTGCAGACATCACATCATGATGGGAAGCATATTGAAAGAAGCCTAAAATTGGAAGCAGATTGTCAGACAGGACATCATCAAGGAGCAAACGTTGTGCTCACAATACAAAGCTTTCTTAAACATTATTTTTTACCGTATGGTATTTAGATGTTGACAAGAATTACAGTAACTTCAAATAAGTAACAGGTTTTTGTATTTTATCCAACTACAGTAGTACAGATTTTTGCTTTTTACTTAATTTATACACAATGATTTATCAAACTGGCTTATATATTGTTTGGTCTAGCATATTTTATCAAATAAATTACACTGAATAAGTTCTGTAATGTGATTTATTGATTGAGGTTTCTAATGATGTATATTCTTTTGTAAGTGTACAGCAATACAATACAGGGGTACAGTATTGTGTATTCCTATATATATATATATATATATATATATATATATATATATATATATATATATATATATATATATATATATATATATATATATATATATATATATATATATATATATATATATATATATATAGTATATGGAAGTATTTTTTAATTGTGCATATATTGTATAATATTCAATGTATCAATCTCACATCCACTGCTCCTCAGACCTTACCAAGTCTAAATAATCTGAATGAAAATAAACAGAATACAACCAAGAGTAACAATATGAACATCATAAACTTAAATTACGATTTTCCAAGCAATTTAATTGCTGGAGGATTCTGTCCTTGTTTCTGCACTATGATCCCAAAATAAATAAAAAATTATTAGAAAAAAAGAATAAACACAAAACAGTTAAATACACGGCTTGACACGCACACATTTCTATCCCTGATAAATGGTTCACAGGTCACAGTCTGGTGGTACTTGACAGACATAACAGTAGAGAGAATTATTGTTCATTACATTACCTAACATGGCCCCCAACTTCTCCTCTGAATTCCCTTTTCCATGTGTTTCAAAACTTCAATTAATAACCAAACAACATTTTTTTTTCACAGCTCTAAAATAAGATAAAAATCAAATGCAAAAGTTAAAGTACATTAATTTATGAAAAAAAGTATATATATATATATATATATATATATATATATATATATATATATATATATATATATATATATATATATATATATATATATATATATATATATATATATATATATATATATATATATGTGTGTGTAGATGCAACATTCACATTTAAACAAAAAATAAAGCAGACCACATTCAATGTTTTTTTTCTTTCTATGTACCTGATTTCTAACAACAAATAGAAAAAGTTAAATTAATATCATATCTTACACAGGATAGTCCAATTGAGCATCATAACATTGCCACTTCCTATTTTTTTACAAAAACTTTGTATGCAACTTCAGTAAGCAGGGTGTCACCTTCCTGACAGGAATGGATTCTTAAGCTCTGCACATACAGTATACTATGGGTAATGATATTTCACATATCCTTACTTGATAAGGAAAATGGAACCCTGACCTGAAATTGTCACTGTTACAATTAATAAGGAGAGTACAGGATGGTCACAAGATTTGGGAAGTGAAGACTACAATAATTTGATGTTAAAAAAATTGGAGACAATCTCACTGGCATATTCAGGAATTGAGTACTGTAGTTAGATTGCTTGTAGGGGAAGCAACTTTTAAAAGTAAAACCTAAGTACCAACATGAGTGTTTCATAGCGCGAGAGCTCTCTTACAGCGCAATGTCATCAACATTTAATTACAAGTTATCTATAAATATACAAAATTTAAAGTGAGAATGCAGTGAAATGACAAATTAAGAGTTACACTGGTGATGGGCATTAAGGAGTATTAACACATACATATATTTCTCCCATCAAAGATCACTAATAATGCCAAATTCCCAATACTGTATTTGATAAATATCCATCTAAAATACACTAATGTTCCTGAAACAATTTGACTTTCATAAATACTTGATTGATATCTACAAAACCAAATCTTATTTACCCAGTTGATGACAATTATAATGTAATGGATTTTATTTTAAAGAAGACATGGGTCTATTCTGATGTGTTGTGTGTGAAGAAACAAAACTTCTCCCCGAAAGCACTACCGTGGGAAAAGCATTTGGTATCCCATTCAATATTTGTTTACTTTGGCCAAATTCACACTACAGTTGTGGTTCAAGGCACATGTTTCATTCCTAAATGTTGAATGACCTAGATGTTGCAGTGCTGGACAATACTATATTAGTACAATTACAATACAACCCAAATTTCCAACGACTTTTTTTCATTTTTTATTAATTTCCATTTCTATCATCTTGTTACTTCCCCTTGCTTATAATTATCTATATATTTTCAACTTTCTACTTCTCTCTTGCGTAATTCTGCGGAGGAACCCTCATAGTCTTCACAAATTCTTTAGCAAACAAGTAGAGAAACATGTACATACTGGGATATTTAAAAATGTAGGCAGTCAGTAGCTGTAATGTTTGTGCAAGATTCTGTGAGCACCACCTGATGATGACACAACCCCTCCCAGCTGTGACTTGTAGACGAAAGTTCCTGATGCTACTTCCTTATTTCTTTATACATGCCCTAAATGATATGGTCAAAAATCATATATTGTAAACTCCATCATCAACAATTATATAAAAGAAAGAAGAAAACCACATCACACAAGAAATTACTGTGTCTCCATATTCCTCTACTATCATTCCGAGGTGACTAAAAAGTAAAAGGGGATGACTTCAGATATACAAAAGACAGACAGAGATAGTGTAATAATAGTCCCTCAATTTATCTGATATCCCTTGTTAATGAAACTCTAGTAGTATCCCTAAACAGCTAAACACTAAGGATCAGTGCTGATTTTCATTAATTTGCCTATACAGTAGAGCATCTCACTGTTAAGGGAATGTGTGCGTTAACATTCCCAGCTTCACTTGTACCCATTTATATCTGGGTTGAGTGTGACATACACATGGTAATGTCCTTCACCCATGAACATGTTGCTCTTGCCAGTTTGAACACAAGATGATGCAGCTTTAAGTTCAATATCTAACTATTCAGAAACTGCACCCAGAATGACACATCTCTGCCTAAATAATAAATCTTTCCTCCAATCTCACGTAAACAAGTTTTGGTCAGATTTTTATATTCCTTGTGTGCAAATTGAATATTTTACAACTAAACACGGATAATATATTTTTATTAATACCACACTCTTATGAGGCTCCACAGCCTTGTTCTTGTCAACCAAGATATGCCTGGTTCAATAATAACACTTTAATAAATGCATTCATTCTTGAAGTGATTTGAACATTATATGAATCCAGATAAAAATCAGTGGTAAGCTGTAAACTTTACCTTAAAGCATAGTGCCTGCACTATGGAAATAATATTGAGAATCACTACACTGTGAGCTTGACATGTTGCAAAAACTCACACATGAAGTTACAGGGATGGATCAACTGTTATATACATATATTTGTCTAAAGGTTAGTTTAAAAACAAGTCAACTCAACTACAAGTCTCTTCTCTAATCTAATTATTCTTTTCTAAGAGAAACAATGTCTCTGAATATTTTACGTATTAATTACCAACATTTCACTGTACACTGATCCAGCAATAAATTTGTCACAGTAATGCAAAGCAATATTTAGGAACTAATGTGCTGAAATTCTGGTGGTCTGTAACTTCTATACATTGTTGATCTCACTGTAGCAATAATCTGAGAATAATCAGAATGATAGCGATATTTTCCTAAAGCACCCGAGTGATTTTATTCTGATCAATTTACTCTTATATTAATCCTCACACTGGGCAGTCCATTGGTCGCAGATCTGAATTCCCATTGAGGAGGCAATGTGTGATTTATATCTGGTGTGAGCCAGTACAAGCAGCAGTCATATCCTCACCAGCTTGTCTTCAAGATTCAACTGGCTCACAAATATTCTAACCACAGGGGAAGGTTTACTTATCCTCGTTCAACCAGGCCTGTGTGGTAGTCACCCTGGGTCAACTTGTAAATTCCTAACTGTACTAAGTCAGCCTTACTAGAATATAGGTTACACAGAGAAAATAAAACCTCTGTGAACCTCACTCAAGGAAATAAAATATACCAAACAAAACTTTTCGTACCATTTTTGATGATGATGACTTGGAGTGTTATAAACCCATCAACAATGCCAAAAAAATGTGTAATAACTGTGAAGAAAATGAAAGGGCACCTAAAACTTTTAACACAAGGGAGGCAGTACAAAGAGGAAGTAAAAAAAATAGAATAAAGTAAAGTGAGGGGAAGCATTAAAATAATTGGAAAAATGGAAAACATCTGCATTATCTCAAAAAGACTCTGCAATCTGAGAATTTATGGCAGACCACTGACACTACAGTCTCACGTGGCCAAGAAAATAATCAATTGGATACAGTACAAACTTCTGAGGACTGCTCAGGTGACTAAGGCCAACAGATTTGTAACACAAACGAGATAAACAAAATTTCTCAAAATATTCCAAAGAGCTAAATATGCTTCTGTAGTGCAAAGCATTTTCCTATGTAGTGAAATTCAAGGAAAGTTAAAAATCAAACAAATATGTGGCAGCAGAAATGGGGTCAACTTGAATCCATTTGTATCTAGCACAATCACAATATATTCAAATAAAGAAATGTCACTAAGTTTCTTCGGTGTTTTTTTGGAATGAGGTGTTGAAAGCTATAACTCATTAACTTCACACCCTTAACTGTCATCATAAATGACATTCTCGCTGTACAGTTCATGGGTCCTCTAGTAACCTGACAGCTGAGTATTGAGCCAGTAACAGTCAGTTCTCTCGAGTTAACAACTGACCAACAACAGCTCTCGATTGACTGTTACACAATAGAGATCTAGACGTCTTTTTTAATACCTAGTTTATCTAAGCGTCACAGTTTAAAATTATAACAACAATGCAATATAGGCTGTTTCCACTACTCTACTAATACAGCCCTTTCAAAATGTATTAATTGTGCAGGCATGGGTAAATGGCTGATGCAGTACAGTAATATGAGGAAAGGCAGATCCAGGAAGAGGGTGAAGTATGGTAAAGCTGAGGACATTAGAGAACAGGTAAGCAAGTGTAATGTCAAAGCTATGACATGGACACCTGACATTCACAATGTTATAAAATGTGATACAGGTAGGTAGCATTTGTATCAAGATATGACAAGGACAGTAAACACACATACAGTAATGATGTCAAGAGATGAAGAATATGTTTAACACATTAAGGGTGATATCAATGAGGTGATTGGGGGATAGCAAACAAACTTCTGATGATTTAAGATGTGATACAGGATGTGACAAACAAGTAGTGTTGACACAAGAAGCTAGCATGAGTATGGATGTCACAGATAGGACACTGGATGATCTCACATATACAACAAAGGCAGCTGATGTTAGCTGACATGGGCATCAGTGATTGGAAACAGATTTGATAACTTTCTGATAAAAAAATGGAAGTAAGGGCAATAGATACTGAAAAAAAGAGATAGGACCTATGAGGTCCAAATTCTTACTGGTAAGGTATGAGCTCAAGAAAGCATATAAAATGTGGTATGGCAGATCCGCTGATTTGTCACTGAGATCTAGACCAATCCACAAGGTTAAGACAACCCAGAAAAAAAAAGTACATGTCTTTAAAGAGATGTGAAAATGGCTTGTGCATATTGAAATATGGAATATTGTGCAAGAATCTTTAAATACAAAACATTTAAGGAACAACCTAAAATGGTTTCTACTGTACTGTACAGAACACAGCAGACACAATTATACTACATGAGATATCATTCATAGCCATCACAAATACAATGAATGTTGTGTGCATAGGCAATCATTTGCTATCAAAATACGACATTTATCGCCCCTGCTGTACAAAGTTTACCTTACAGGCAGAGTATTGAACTTCATTATAAACCATGCAGAGTGCTCCTCCATCCCAACGGTTAGGAAAATAATATATTCCCATTAAAATAGCTCACACATTTCATATTATATTACTATTGTCAGTTTCTTCAACGTCAATAACAAAGAGAGTCAAATTTAAATATTTGTATCTTAAAACTGAGACGCATAACACCAGTCTCTCAACTGACCTTCTAGAGCCAAACTTCATTTACACTCACAAAAATACAGAGGGTTTGTACAATGTCATCAGTATCTTGTCATTCATATTTTCAAGCCAAGGCAAAAATGGAAAATATACTGTATAAGATAAAGCTGAATGTCTTTGTTTCAACATGTTCTTCATCTAAAGCAAATGTTCTTCCCTTTCTCTCCCCCTCCCCCTGAAAAAAATAAAGATAAAAATAAAATTTAACACATACATACATACACAGCTAATATACCCCCCAAGATAAATCTGCATGTTTCAAAGCAAGAGATACACTTAGCAAAAGACCCATACTAATATATCACAAATTTACAACAGAATACTGGGCCAGTATGACACCATACCTCCCTCTCATTGACAGAGCAAAAAGAGGCCATTTAATAAAATAATAAACAGATTTCTGCATTTTTACAGTATACCTTTAACATAAAATAAATTTGGAAAAAAATTACTCTACATCTTTCATATATTTCTCTGACACCATACATACATGCAAGCACATACACATGGTAGTTCACTAATATCTATCAAAAAATCTCTCCTCTCATACATTTATTATAATTGAAAGAAGCTAATATAATTCAAGACACACTCTTGTGGGTGTAGTGACTCAAGCCTTCTCACCCTTGGTTCTGCAGCAGAAGACCTGTAATAAATACACGACTATTACTCAAAATAATTTGATCTTGCTGTAGTGACATCTGTAACACACAAATTTTTAAAAAATGTCTACATCAACTTCCAAGGTACAGTAAAGCCTCTGATAACAATGGCTCGACCAACAACTTTTCATATTTAAGACCCTAGTTAATTTAGGACCCAATTCAATTTACGTCCTTATTTCATTCGTATTTACTGTACTGTACAACCAAAATATAATAAAAATAAAATAATATTACATTTTCATATTAATAAAGACGAAATCCCGATATGCATTTAAAAAAAATTAAATAAAAATTACTGTAAAAAAATGAAGAGCGCCTTGCGCAAAGAAGCTGCTTGGCTAATGAGTGGTAATGCGCATCGCCAGTAAACAACAGCTGGAGCTTGGCGGTCCCTTTGTTTTCACGCATCTGAACAGGAACAGGAGAAAAACTTTCTCCGGTTTCTTACATAATTTTTGCATCCCTATTCAACATGAGCAAGAGAGCAAGTGATGGTAGTGTTATTTCAAAAGCTAATAGGAAGTGTATAAGCTTAGCCAAGAAACTAGATGTGCTAAAACGATATGAAAAAGGTGAGAGTATGTGGATATTATATGGAGCAAGCAATGAACATATTTTCTGAAGTGGATCCATTAACAAAACAAAGCATTAAAATTTAAATAAATGCAAATGACCTCTATATAAAGATATGTAATGAGAAAAGAAAGCAGCTGTGCAAGGTTCTTTCGACAGCTTTATTATTCAAAGGCCTAAACCATCAACTTCAGCTACACCATTAAATTCAGCATCATAAGCAGCTTCAACATCAACTTCAGGTTCAGTAACAGTTTCAGCAACAGCTTATGGAAAGCTACAGCTTCAGCCAGAGTTGAACCTGATAACTTCGTCATCTAAGTAAAAACTCGCACAATATTCATTGGCTGTCCTTATGTTTGAGACTTTACTACCATTGGTGAGTATAATTTTTGTTTTACATTCGTAAATATTATTAAAAACATATATGAACAGTAAATAAGTGTTGCTTTCATATTCATATGCAGATATATGACGATATGTTTTCACATGTACGCACTTACTGTACATACGTTGGCGTTCCCAATCGTCTCGCTTTATTTCTTTACCACTAGTGGTTAGCTACTTCTAGTGTTCCATTTATTAACATAAAATAACATTACTTAAAACATACATACAGGTATTCAATTTTTTTTAATTAAGTTCACTACAGCTACAGCCAGGGTTTTATTTTCTTCAGTTTCTTATGTAGAACCATCATCACTCACGAAAACAATGCCGTCTTGTCTCCTCGTGTGTGCTTTAACATTCTACGTATTATTGATGAATTGCATTGTTCATTTCACAGATTAATTCAATCAAATACATATTCAGTAATAAACAATAATGAATCTTTTGTACATATTCTTAAGATACAGTATATGACTAAGTTTCCTTGTGTACGCATGTATACATTGGTGTTCCACTATCAGTTTCACTTTTTTCTTAAATATCAGTGGTTACTTCCACTGTGCATTAAATAACATTAATTAAAACATACATATTTTTAACATTAATTTTACTACAACAACAACCAGGGTCTTATTTTCTCCAGTTTCAGGTGGATAACTGACATTATGGGTGTAAACACTGACAACAATGCCATCTCTTATCCTCTTGTGTGTTTTAATATTCTACGTATTATTAATGAATTGTACTGTTCATTTCGCATATATAAAGATTAATTCAATCAAATACATATTCATTAATACACAATAATGAAACTTTTTTACATATTCTTAGAAAGATAAATGACGCGGTAACCTTAAATGCGCACGTATATTTTGGTGTTGCCAATCCATCTCTTTTTTTCTTTGCCATTAGTGGTTAGCTATTTCTAATGTTCCATTTCTTAACATTAAATAACGTTACTTAAAACATATATATAAATTTTTTTTACATTAATTTTACTACAGTTACAAACAGGGTCTTATTTTCTTCATTTTCTCCTGTAGCCGGGACGGATTCCCGGCTGTAAACACAAACGAAAACAATGGCGTCCCATCTCCTCTTGTGTTACCATATTATTATTCATATATAATGTATAAGGTGCATTCAGAAACATTATTTAAAGAATATAGTTTGCAATTTTAATTAATTGTATTGTTTTGGGGGGAAAAGAGGGTAAAAAGCCACACAAAAGATATGAAAAGGTCACACTTGGGAACGCATCTCATTATTATGGCTTTATTTTAATGGTAATTAATGATTTGCGATTCGATGATTCACCTTACACTGCAATATTGGAGGACACATTACCGTCATTATTCGAGGTTTTACTGTATAACACTTCACTAAGTTCATCAATGACTTCTGAAGCCAGTGTGAAAAAAACAAAAACAAACATGTAACAAACTTTGAAGACTACTAAAGGTTAATAATATATCAAGACTTATGGCTGTTTTTTGTTTTGTGTGAGAGAGAGAGACTAACTTACCACCTTATGTTTGCTAGCAGCATTTCTGTTTCCCTTTCCCTTTTTTAGGATTATGGAGACGCACTGGATCACTGGTGTTGGTCTGCCGATCCTTCTGTTCCTTCTTAGTTTGTAATACCATCTTAGTCATCACTGTAAACATCTGCAAATATTCACCCATTATATAATACATCCCATCTACTTTCATCAGGAGACTATACTGATACACAATAATTACTGTTTTAAAGTATGACAGCAAGAGTTTAGGTGAGAGACAGAGAGAATGATTAACGTAGTAAAGTGGATGAATACTTTTACTTCACTATGGAACTGTTCTTATCAAGTAGGCCCAAGGAACACACAATTTCTTGGGGGTAACTGATTAGAATGACCTCTCTGGAGTTTCAGGAACTGTGGGAGGAGAAATGGCTTACCTCTTCAACATTGATATTGTCCTTCGCGCTAGTTTCGAAGAGATTGATATTCATTTGATCAGCGAAGCGTTTGGCATCTTCATAGAGTACAACCTTCCTATCTGGGCAATCATTTTTGTTCCCCACTGAAAAAAGTAATAATTTCAAATTACTATTAATAAACAATAGTCTGAAAAAATAATTAAATAGCTACAAAAAAAGGTAAAATTAATATATTCTTCATTAGGCAGATTAAACTGCATACTTACCTTTTCCTTTAAATCCATTCAACAATGCAGATTCAGAAAAAATATTGCATTTTTCACTGAGATTTAGGCTTAGCCATCTTCCTGCATTTCAGGAGACTCGTGCTTCATGCAACAACAAAATGGTTCACTTTTTGCCACTCTACAAATCCCTTTTCTGTACCTTCTTTACAGTTATTTTCTTGTGTGTCATCTTTTAACAAGTCATTCAATATACATCTACAAACACGCATATTTCAAAATTTATCTTCTTTTATTTATAGTTACATAAGAATAAATTCAATTATTAACCATACTATATTTTGTATATGTGCAGCACTTGTTCCCTTATCCTCTGCCCCAGCTGGCTTTGGTCTTCAAATTCATCCAGGAGGTAACCAACCATCCTTCTTTCATGTGTGTGTGTGTGTGTGTGTGTTCTCATCAGTGGTGTAGTCAAGATTGACCCCAAGACCATGAATGAGACCCTTCACAATTTTAACTTTTTTGGATCACCTGAATAATAGCTCCAAGCTTAACCAGCCTGAAGTTTAAACACCCAGAAACAATCTTCTAAGTGATCCACAAAGGCTACAATTGCAACTGGTCTCGTTCACAGTCTCGACTACGTCACCGATTCTCTTATGGTTTTGAGGGGCGGCTATGTATAAAATTTATATCTACCATCTAATTGCAATTATGATACCTTCGTCCCCTTTAACAGCTCTCTTTTAGGCAGGAGGATGGAGTGCTGCCCTACCAAGTCATAACCAGCTCCATTCCCTTCACATCTTCCCCTATGATACTGACTGCCTTCCCATCACTACAGCTTCTGTAATCTCAATATTGTTATCTCTCTTTGGTATTCCATCACCCAGAGTTTTTCCCTCTTGGAGCCACCACTGATAACTTCTCAAAACTGCAGAATCTTCCTCGATCATTCCAGCTCACTATTTATGACTCTGAAATGACACCCGTATTGTAGCACTTATCCTCAACTCATTCACCAACCCCATGTCTGCACGTCAACATAAAACTTTCATCACAATATCAAGCATAATATCCTCATTCTTTGAAGGCTTTGATGCAAATACCAGAAGGAAATTGAGAACCTTCATATCTGTCTGGTCTTTATATTCTACATCTGGATTCCATTCAGCATCCCAGTGTCACCTGTCATCCCTAGAATTTCATATTTTCATTTACTGATCATCAAAAACTTTTCCTCTTAACATTACCTTTGCATCTTCCAACCCATAAACTCAGGTCATTATGTACTGTATAACTAAACCTTTCTTATAATCATAATAGATCTTATTTTAATTATTTATTTTTCTCCAATCAGTATTTGCACATTAAAGATTACTTGAGATAAAGAATAAGTCACAATCATGCACACAAACACAATCCTACAATAGTGTGTCTTCCACTATCTTAACGGAGTGACTCGTGAACAGTCTCCGGAGTGCCATACTACAGTATCTTTACACAGGTTAAGTCATTCTTCCTTTCTCAGACGCCTACTAAAAAGTACGATACAGTAGTATCAATCATAAGAGTGTATTCCCAAAGTAGGCACCGAATGAGGTTAGAATCTGGTAATGAATTTTGCAAAACTTGTTTCCAAAACATCAATACTGAACATGATCAAGAAAATGGGTAAACATTATTCAGTATACTCACCAACTATTTAAAGGCGTTAGCAAACACGAGAGAGAGGCGGGCAGCATAGGTGGCATGGAAGTGTGGGGAATTCTAAATGAGGGTTATTCCTACTGCACTTAAGTTATTAAAATGCACTATTAATTAGGACTTAAAAGTAATAGGTAGTAAGTAGCTTAATAGTACACTTATATCACTCCAATGCATCCTTCTTTACTGTACTGTATGAATAACAGCGGCAGCCCCCCAAAATTACAGCGCACAAAGTTGGGACTACTGTACTGTACTGTACTCACATGTAGGTAACAGTACAGTATGTGATGGTGTTTTTCTCACATGACAGTACTGCATAAAATTATTTAATACAGAATCTTGATTGACTTCTCTTAATAGGTCCTGTTACAGAAACATGCCAGCCAAAGGCAAAGCAAATAGTTTTACAGTATACACTACTTAAAAGGTAAGTTACTTCAGCCTTGAATTAGTGAGCATCATACATCATATACTGAAGTAGTACAAGGTTATGAGTAAACCAAATGGTTAATGCACTCACTCATTAGCCTGAATAGTTTACCAAAGAACACATTACAGAAGTAAATAAAAATAAACCACACTTTTAGCACAACATACAGCTGCCACATCACTGACAGCGCCAATTTAGAACTATGTACAACCTTTGAGCCTGTTATAGTACATTTTTGTTCATTAACTTTCATGACGAGATAAGTGAAGACTGTCAAGTGACAGTAAAGAGGTCTGGCTGGGGCTGAACATATCCACCAGGAGGAGGCCTGGATGTATTACAAATATTATCTAACTTAACCTGTGTATGCCAGGTTCAGCAGCTAGAGGAAAAAAAATCACACACACGCGCGCACACACACACACTTACCAGATAATATCAGCAATGCTTTTTTTAATGAATATATAATCCACCTCAAATAAATTCAATCTGTCCATCCTGACGACTTTGCATGCCAAACCTTGACACAGCTAGTTAAATCTTTTTTTACATAAGTGTGTCAATTTGAGCATTAATAAATGTTTTAGGAAAATAAATTAAAATCAGGAGTTACAAATGGCAGCTATAGTAACCAAATGGGTGTTTCATTCTAATTTAGAAAACAAAATTCAACAACTAGATCTCCTCTAACTTTATGATGAAAATGTAAAGTTTTATATCAAAGGTGTAGATACAGGTATAAGCTTCGGTCACGGGCACATTTTCAATACCAGGTTTGATAAATCTTGGCCCAGCTGTACTGTTGCATATTTTCTGAGTCATTCACAATGCAAGTTTCAGTATTACAGATGCAGGACCACCAAAAGAATATTTCGTGGTACTTACCCATATGCACTAACAGAACAAGTTCCATTAAACGTTAAGAGAATATTTTGTGTTAACAGAAAAATAATGGTTGCCCCTTGTGTAACGAGGATGGCTGGCCAAAGGGCCACCTAGGCGTGATTTTGTTTAAGGTGTAGAAGCTGTCGCCAACACAACAACCACACCCTAAGTTAACAAGTTGCATGACCCACTGTCGAGGAATAGTCCAAGGAGACCCGACAACTCGCCAACTGCACTGACTAACCATTACCCCAGAATACGATCTGCAAATCAATTAACATCCAGGTTCTCAATTACTGCTGGGTAGACAGAGGTTCGATACCTGGGCAGGGTGAAATTATGGGCAAGTTTCTTTATGCCATTTGCCTCCGTTAACAGATACACAGACAAAAAAACACACACACACACACATATTCACTCAGTGCCAAACTCATTTTCGTCAAACACTCATCAATTTCTGTTGACACAAACAGAAGTGTGGAAGGTGTAAAAAAAGTAAATAAATAAAATAAAATTAAATAATAAAAAAATAGGAAGAAACAAAGTAGAACTGAAGTAGAACCATGACATTTCTTAATTATAGAGAAGAAGTGAATCCCAACATATGCACATCAGTTCTAGGTCTTCACCCTCAAATGAAATAAACAGTATTATTGCCACTGTTCATCATTCTCCTCCACCATCACAACTTACACCATTTTTCTAAACATGGAGCACAAATATGAAACAAAAGATTCCTCGATTACAACAACTACAACAGCCACCAATAAAACTAAGCACCATTCAGACAGTGAGTTACCAATATTTTGTCCTTCTTTTATCAGTACAGTACTTATGTATCCTATTCATCTATCTGTTCCTGAACTTGTAAGACATTAAGTAAATCCAATAATCACTGACTCTTGCAGGTGACAAAAGTACATGAAGACTTCTGCTACCATAGTGGTTAAATATTTCATAGCATTCATTTTACACATATTGTAATACTGTAGTTTGTGGAACCACTTCGTTTCTACTGCACGTCGTCATCTCTCGTCATCCTATCTGGCATGCTCTACTGACACACTACTATGGCCTTAATCCTTCTATGCAGTCTACTACCAGACTTCACTGTTATAAATCGTTGTCATCATTCATTAAACAATCCAATATAGCCATTGAATCTAAAGATACTGTACTTTCACCTACACAAACCTTCTAAGGTGTTTGGCAGGCTGTAAATATCTGTCATGTTGTTATTCATTGCCCGAGTCTCTTTATTCCTAAGAGACCTGATAAATAAGAAAAGAGCCACAAATGGCCATCGTTGACAGCTTAGTTATGACCCCAAACATTGGAAAACTTTGTCGACAGTCACTTGTACAGTACATACTCCTAGGATTCTTAGTTCACACAAACATTTGTAAACCATTTCTTGCATCAGGTTACATTCCGTATGACTTACTTATTTCTACTACATGCATCTTTGACTTCTCTTTACTCTAGCATCATGTATTATTAAGAGATTTAAAGCTTTAGAAAATGCAAATATTAAACAAAATTAAATATTGCAGTATCTTATTAAGTGATATAAATGTACCTACAGTATACACTATCTGAATTATTTTTACAGTGCTATTTCAGCTGTTAACACTGGTATTTAGGCTATACTGTATCACACTGGGCAAAAAACAATCAAGGGTTGAAGGAAGAAATAAAGTTTTCTACCATTTCACAAGTCATAAAAATAAAATTGCTTCTATAAGACTACGATACTGGATTACTACTTCAAATGGCTCCACTTCTGTATTTCAAGGATCAGTTAGTAATAAGTTTCTGAACAAAATTTAGGGACAATTTTATGACTTGTGTTATAAGAAGTGCTTGAAACCAATTCCCCATGCAATGGTTCAAGTACCATCAGCTAAACTGGCAGAAAGGATACCAAAAGTCTACATAACAAAACTATAAATTCATACAGAACCTGCAAAGGCTTTTTTAAATAAGAATAAAGTGAACTTAAAAAATGTTTACCCAACAACACTAAAAAAAAAGAAAGAAAAAAAAAGACCAGTATGTTCACAAGTGTATTAAACAGAGTTAAATCAAATAACAGATAAAATCATAAAAACATAAAATCATAAACCTTAGGAGTGAGAAAATATGTATACATTATCCATACCTAATATTCTGTTGACTACTTCACAATTTTGTTCAATTTCGTGGAGCCAGCGCTTTACATTGGCAAAGCTCTCCCCATTGGTTACATCGTACACTACTATTACTCCGTGAGTCCCTCGGTAATACCTGAAGGGGAGAAATAAAGCATTAATAAACTTGCTCTACCCAAATTATGTCACAAAGATTCACAACACAATAATAGTTGACAAAAATAGATAGGTAATACAGTAATTTATTAGATTAAGACTACATGCCCCCACCCCCCCAAAATAATACAGTACTGAGATTAGAGGAAACAGTGGTGGTCTCGGTTAATCATGGCAGGGGAAATCAGTGGCAGATCCAGGCTTGCTTCAAAGATGGCCTGACGCCATATACAGTACACCCATGGAGTCCCCAGAACACTCTCACATCATTCAAAAAATCAACCTCTGTTCTTCTTATCTGATAACAATGTGTGGTGAAGATGGGTGTGTAAAAAAATAAAAATGCTGGGTAATAAATAAAGAGACAAGGAGATTCAGAATTGCTAAAAGTGTCCAGAGAACTGATGAGGTTTATATGAATATGGTACAGGAGAAAGAGACGTGAAAGAGTGACAAAAAGAGTGTATATTTACGAGACAATTTGGAAGAAGGGAAAGGGGAAGACCAAGGAGGAGATGGAAGAATGAGGTAAAGGATGCACTAGAGGAGAGGGGTTGGGCATCCAGGAAGCAATGGCGTGCATGACCGACTGGAAGGCACAGTATCAAGTGATGTTTTTGGGATGGCTGTATTGGTGATGGAAGATGCTGGAGCTGTGTTGAGAGTCGGGGATAAACCAGGAATTTATTGTAGAAGGAACATATTGTAACAAACAGTCTTTCTTGTAGAAGTAATAGTGATTGAATGAAAGTGAATTAAATTTTTTTGCTCTTGACTGCAGATACCCCACATTACAATAACAAGGAAAGGCTTAAAAAGAGACAACAAAAATTATATAAAGGGAAGAAGGTAAATACTGGTATTACTACAAACAATATGTTGGTGGGTGGGATTAGAGGATAATGTTGATAAGGTGGTCACTGACAGGACCTCTTCAGAGTCCAACAGTTGGAGAAGAGGAAACGCCCTTTCCTACTGATGCTTTTTATCTCTGCTCAGTTACTGAGAAACAGTACTCTCCTCACACCCTCTCAAACTCCAGATAATGCAACGGCTCCATTTCCTTACTTCTTTCAGCTTTCCTATCAGTGACTACAGTATTTTCCAGGGCGACCCATCACCCTATACATGCATTTCTACTTTTCAGTGAAAGTAAACAACAACTTCATTCATGTGACTGTACAATTCCATTACAGTGGCTGCCTTTAAAGAAATTTATGTCTATGGTCATGACTTTCATAAAAGTATCACCAGAGCAGAACTAAAACAGAACCAAGAAATCCTGACGTGAATATATGTTGTGTCTACTTCAACTGGACACTGAAGAAGCCAAGCGAAAGAAATAAATTTTATTAGGTTACAGCTACATCTGCTGTATGCAACTAACCTAGTTTTAGGACTCACCACTGTTAGGACAGAATATGCTGAGCTCAGTATATGAGTATCTATGCTCTATGTCAGTACATTCTCGGCAATGGTTTGTGTTGTAGTAAGATTAAAATTATACAAAGGACCTTAAATAGCAAGTCAACAAAAAGATTAACAACAGATTATCACACACTTAAAAGTACAACCACATAACACTCTTTAAGCTGTGACTTCACGGTGTGCTGTGCTCCAAGTCTAACTTCACTGCTAGAAAAAAATCATTGTTATCTGTTCTAGCTTAACTTGTCTACCCAAAATACATGGAACCAACCCTCCTCAACTTCCTGAAATAAAAAGTACAATCATCATGTTGCACTGTTGCACATTATAAATCTGGCAGGAAAGTTTTAGAACGTACGTGGATGTGATGGTTCTGAAGCGCTCCTGCCCTGCAGTGTCCCAGATCTGTAGCTTGACTCTCTCCCCATCTACTTCTAAAGTGCGTATCTTAAAATCTACTCCAATTGTGGTGATGTAGTTGCCTGTGAATGTGTTGTCTGCAAACCTTAGAAGTAGAGAACTCTTCCCAACACCTGTGAATATAAAAACACTGTCACATCACACATTTCTCGACACCACTGTACACAGTTCTTGGCATATACAAATACAGTACAGTATAAAAATGAAAAGATGATTAACTGTAGCTGCTGTAAATACTGTAAAAACAAATTACACTACACCTATATTAATAAATAAAATTAAAATGATCAATATTGAGCACAACCCCAGTATTGTAATACTGGACAGGTGTAATCAAATCCAAAAATATGTCCAATTTTGTTAAACTTTAACTATTAGAACATGAAAGACTTAGACTGGACCATAATGTACACGATGACTTGATCCAAGCCCATGTTGAGTTAAGATGAAGTCTAAAACCTGAAAAACTGATGGATTTTCAGGATTACAAATTCTAAGATTTGTCAATGCAATACTGTACAGAGATTCCCAATTTATGAAGAGGTTCTGTTCTTGAAAAACCTTTTGTACTGTACAGTACAATGATTTTTCAACAATCAAAGAAAATTTTCCCCTATGTTCCCATTATACTGCAAAGCAGGTGTTCTCTTATGCCTAAACTATGCTACAAAACAAATTTCCAAAATGATTATAAACCACTAATAAACACTAGGTGCTGATCACTAGCAACGGTGCTCCATGTCAGACATGTGGTTTACACTTGGAAACATTCACCAATGCCCGAAAAAATTCCATAATTTTTTTCTGGGAATGTTGATTCGTCTCAATAACTGGAAACCCCTTGAACATGGAAAAATTTTGCACCAATTATTCCATCATTCCAGCTATTAGGGATATTACTGTACTGTATATACTGTACTGTATATATGTATATACAGTACAGTGGTGTAGTGTACTGTACATATATGTGAAATACAACCAAGGGCAAGATATTGAAACGTGTTGGCACTAGCACCTGGAGGCTGGTCACATATCAATGTAACATGAATCCCAGCCACACCTATCAAGTTACACCCTGCTGCCATACACAAGTCACATCAGGTAACTAATTTGATAAACAACAAAGTGACTTTTTAGACTGGCACTACTGTATAAGCCCATCTTTCTTGAGTGTTTTACTGACCCAGGCTGTAAATACTTTTCTCCACCTGAATGGATTGCCTTCCTTTGCCATAGCCGAGTTATACTATATATATATAACTCTGATGATAAAGCATACTGTACATGGATGAATTAGATTCATTGTTCCTAAATCATACAGAGATAAGATTTCACCTCACCACACGAGGCTCAGGAACAATGAGAGAATGATGGAAGCTACCTGGGTTAAAGCCACAAATTCAACTACAGTACTACCCTGTACTGTACAAATACCACAGACAAACAAACACAGATGGGGAGCAATCATTTACTGCCATTCGAGTAGTTCTAAAATTTCACCAATGAAATTCCACACAAATGGTATTGAAAAATGCTACTTATAATTGCAATTTTGTTTTATGATTGAGAGAGTGGAAAATGAATCATTAATGATGGAATCATTGCTGCCATATCTGAATAATGCACAGCAATAAGATGTTGTCAAAACAGCAACTCATCCACACACTCTGTTTCATGCTTCTGTAAAAGGTTGTTGAAGTTTAAGGTAGAAGGGCCACAGAATTGTGGGTAAATGCCTTCACATGCACTTCCTTGCTCTCTTAGCACAGTATATGTAGTTTCCAAGAGATGGTCTTTATTTCTACGAGGAATAATAGTTCGTAATGTATAGCAAAGAGAAATAACAAGTTTTGAATTATTGTATTTACAGTATACTGTATAACGGAACAACTATAGGAACAGTAATCTATCCGTGATCTGCAACCACAAGATCAAGTGCCTTTTTGCAAGACAGAGAAAAAGAACATACCCCAGTAAAACTCCATAAGAAGCCAAGCCTCAAAGGCTGAGAGTATCATCAGTGCAGTCCAGTTATCTCATTAATGACCCTTGTTGTCATCTAAGAAACAGAAACTTTATGGGCCTCACATTTTAATTTATGATTCAGGAACTCTGATTACTGTATTGTGTTGTGTACTGTACGCACTCTCAATACAAACCAGCAGCCTACACAGGACAAACAGACAGGTACTTTTATTCTAACTGGTTATCCAAACTGAGAACTGAATTCACTTTGGTCTAAACTAAGAGTTTTATGATTAGATAAACATTACTGTATAAACTATGCCGAGGGCAAATAAGGCACATCTTACAGAGGACCCAAATGAAATGACATAGGATCCTTCTAAGCATCAATTTATTTTGGGGGGATTTTCACAAACTAGCCTATCTGGTCACAATAGAGTAGGAATGACTCGCAGTTAAGGGGAAAAAAATAAATAAAAATCAGAACTTTCCCAAGGGAAGATCATATTAATGACAACCATTTAATGATCTACGAGATCACGATTCAGTACAGTATTAATGGTTGGCTTTCTTTCACATTTATCATTCGCATTAATAAGCAAAAAAAACCCAGTGAAACATCCATATAACAGACTTTTATCTCCATATACAGATGGAGGTCTCACATCTAATGAACCCTCAAAATATCAGACTTTCCTCTCCATATAGTCCATTAAATAGAGGTTTCACTGTAATGCCAAGAGATCAAGGAAAAAGCAAATATTAACTTATGAGAATCATGTATGGGTACAGGCCAGAGTGTCCTACTGCCTAGTTGGGTGTCAAATCATTTGGTTAGGATAGGTCAGGTTACTTTAGGCTAGGTTAGGTTGAATCACTTTAACTTAGGTTAGGTTAGGTTTGGTCATTTTAGATTGGGTTAGGTTAGGCTATGTTAGGTTAGGCAACTATTTAGTGGGAAACTTCAACTAGGACACTCCAGCAGTGGTACAATCTGACTATGATTCATGCTGTACAGTATACAGTACATTCCACAGGAAGCAGAGACTATACAAGCAATTAGTAAAAAGAAATTAAAAATAGAAGAGAAAAAGACTGTATATTAATCTACACCACAAAGATGCCGGAAAACATGCTTTTTGAAGTGAGACAGTTTGTATGAGTACGGAAACACAGAAGAAGGCAGAGCATTCCACAGTTTGGCTGTGTGAGGGAAGAAGGATGTACTATAATGGGTTATTCTAGTGTGGCCGACATCCACAGAGAATGGGTGGGCACCGCGGGCAAGACAAGTGACATGAGCCCACTGCTTTGCTGGCGGTACACAGGGTGCCAAATCCACTGAACATTGCCTGTTAGAGTACAGTACATGTAAAAGAGAGAGAGTGAAGCAACATTGCGGAGCTATATAGTACAGTACTTCACATAAGATTACACAAACCAATCAGACCAAATTAATCATTGGATGTTGTCATAAATTATTTAGTACTGCAACCGGTAAAGATTGGATTTACGCCCAACTCGCTTTGTTATTACAGTACTAAATTATTTATTTTTATTTTAACGAATGACCTTTATTTTTTGGGCTAATATCCATTTTATGATATACGACCCATTTAACACTAGCCATTTTTTTTAGCTGATGGCACAAGGCCTGACCCTCATGCAGCATCATTGGCTCATACATAATGTTTCATTAATATTGATATATCACAAATAAATCCATATATAACTGCTAAGGATACCCAGTTCTGGCTCACATTAATGCCGAATTTAAGGTCTATAAAGTTATGCACTGTAACTGCTTAAAAACATTAACTTTCAAGATATGAGTGGAAAAAGTTTGAAAAAAGAATATTTACGTCGAAGTCATAAACAAATTCACACTTTAAGAGAACACAGTCGGAGTAAATCCTTCTCTTTTCACTAAGTATTATGTATATAAAGACAAAGAGACCAAACATATAAAGTAACGGATAGTAACGACCATTTTATATAGAGTAGAATTATGTGTAAACACTAAATACAGTACCACATTTTTGTATAAAGGTGTCATTTAAGCGAACATTACAGAGAGGTAGTGTGCCTGGCGGAAGAACTGCTCAGGTGAACCTTTTAATCTCTATAGTATGGTACTCTCTTTACCCCCAAAATAATAACTTTCATTTCAATCAACCCATACAATAACTATTTCTGTGAACCCGATTTCGTACATTGTGAATTATGTTAACGTTTAGTAGACCTGATCCGGACACGACCAAGACACAACAATATTGACGGATTTTAAATTTGTCAAACACATTTTAGTGGGATATTATATTCAAAGCTGTTTATGTGCACTTCACATGATCTCATTTGACCAGAGGATAGTTAAAATTTCTCTCGGTATTCATTCGAGTGCAGTGCAGTATATAGCTCCTCCGTGATCTATACAGTGAAAACGTAAAAAAACAAAAAAAAACAAGATGGTGGGGGAAATCTCCACCATCAGCGAAAAAAGGTTAGGTCAGGTTCTCAAAAGTTTGTTTGGTATTTTTCAAGTGTTTTAACCAAGCAATTTCCTTCACCTTCAAAGCCCTGCCCATTTTGGAAGGATTCATTGTCATTACTGGTGTTAAAGGGGTCAAATCTCATTAAACAAGATTTAGTCTCCAAAATAAAGGTCATATTCCTTAAATTCACAAGAAAATACATAGAAAATACTATGTTCGTAATAAAAAACAAATTAGGCATAAAATGAGTCTTTACCCTGTAGCCATCTTCTTTATATTCAAGACATCCAGAGGCACCAGATATTACTACCCCTTAAATTTATATATCATTCATAAAATTATTGAAATTTACCCAAATAAAATATTCATATTTTCTATTTTCAACCTGTAAAAAAATAAAGGCACAGTACACAGGTATGGTTGCCGTATGCAAAACGTCAATGTCTAATAGTAAGGCAGCATAATGCACATGTGTGGTGGGCAAACTATAATGATCGTTACAAAGATGGCCTTCTTTCTCACTAACCTAACATAATGTAACCTACCCTTCACTATAACCTAACCTAACCTAACCCAACCTAATCAAATCTAATAATAACCTAACCATACCATTGATAACACGGTCCATCAATACAGATGCTATACCTATATCCACTACGAAAAAAATCCTTTCTATGGAAGGAACCGATGAATCCAACCTCAAACGGTTACGGCAGACAGATGATTTTATGACCGTTATATACAATTTATCCTTCTATCATAACTCCCTCACTGGATCTACATTATAACTACTGAATGACACATCAATCAGTAAAATTACAGTTTTGGTCATCCACCTATTTGGAAGTTGAAATTAATCATTCAAAATACACCAAGAACTTAACCTAACCTCACCCAAACCTAATCTACTGGATGACCAAGACGATAACACTACACACCAAACATTACTTAAGATGAAAGTGGTGACCGCCTCTTTAACCTTCATGATACGCCCCACTGGACACAACTCAAGAGTAATACTTCACAAAATCCCACCAATACTAGTTACTAAATTCATTACTCCCTGTTTAGAAAGAACAGATAAAGTTTAAGGAAATATTACCACATTCACCTATGACAGCCACTGCTACACACACAAGAATCAACAATAAGTTTCAAACAATTTCAGCAATAAGGTTAAATAATTCATGACTTGGACCATATGTTCACACAACCCCACACGTTTATTTACATCCATGTGTGTACTGGTGAGAGAGTGATGGGAGGAAGACAGTGTTAAGCTACATCTTAGGAGCACTGGGGTGGATCAAGTTAAAATGACACCAAGATAAAAACAAGGTCTCTCTTATACTGTCCTCCCTACTTCATCTACCTCTCTAACCCACTCAAATACCTTCCTTACCTGAATCTCCTATTATCAATAATTTGAAGAGGTGGTCGTATTCTTTAGACATGGTGAATAAGACCACATATAACGCCCTATGTACACTTGTTATTATTTTCTCCTGGGATGAATCATAAACTGACTGACGGAAGTTTAAACTGTTGCTTGACACCAATATTAGTCACTTTACTCTCCAGTTTATGGCGGGTTGTGGCACTCCGGGTGACTCAGAGAATTTATTAACCAGCTAAAGATAATTTACAAATGCACAATAGAATTTGGAAAACGTTGGGTTATTAATATAGTCCTTTTGAAATACTTTAACGGTACGAAGTGACAACTGGTCGACCTCGTGTGTCCGATTCCTCTGACTGACTCACCAGCCCTTGTCATGAAGGGCGTGTAGTGATATCATGTTCGATCACTTTGATGAAAAACTGATATGGAAATATTTTATAATGCTATTAGTATATGAAAATTCAAAATAAACCATTTGCTACTGAAATATTAAGTCCGTTTTTTTCATCATAATGACAAATTTGGCTTTTCAGCCGTCAAGGATATCGAACACTCTCCGTTCCAATGATAAACTTGGTTGGCAGCATCTGCAAAAAAACCATATATACAGTATATATAAACTGTATGCCACAAAGTCAGTGTTATACTCACCCATTGGTGTAATTTAGTTTATAAAATCATTTAGTAGCTAAAAAGAGTATTTATATTTTGACTGATTAATCCATAAGGGAAATGTATTTCAAAAGTGACAGTAACTTGCACCACAGGCGCAACCAATCATTCTGAGTAGGAAAGAAAATGACACCAAGTTAAACACACAATTAACAACATATCTGTGTGAGGAGATGTAAGTTACTGGGAAAAAGTGACATGTTTCAAAACGGACTCATTTGTGATGGGTGTGACCTTCTGGTATTAGAAATCGGTCATCAATGATTTTACTTCACCTAAAAGTAAAAGTCTAAGTTATTCTTTATGACTTCAATTTTACATATCTTATCTAATCTATACAGATTTCATATGAGATAAAGTTTTTTTAATAAGAAGCTAATGCAATTAAAAAATTTAAAGAAATCAGTTTGTGCATTCTGGCTTCGTGATTGTGTGCATTAATGCATTAACGCATTTATACATGCGTTCATATAAGTTCAAATCCACACATGTAATTTACTGTATATGCGCTAATGTGTGCTTGCAAATGTTATGATGTATTTTAGCATATTAACCTAAGACATTAATGCGTGCTTCCTGAGCGTTTATTTTTTGTTCATGCGTTCATACATAATATACCCGCTGATAATGTACGTATTCGGATGTACTGTATTTGTGTAAATTAAAGCGCGAGTTTTTTTTTGCGTTTTTTTACCACACCTTTATCCTCCATATAGAGCGATGCCCTGTCGAGAGAAGGTAACGATATTAAAGATTTACTTGCCTTGCTTTAGTTACGTGTTTTGGGAGTTCTTAATTACACACACACACACACACATGCATGCAATGAAACCCCTCCATTTCTTTTTATTGATTTAACAATAATGATACAGGCAGAAGAAGGGTTGGAAAAGGAGTGTGATTGAAGTAGAGGGTTGTTGAGCAGCAGATGTGTGGCCGCGGGCAGGATTGAGTCAACGGGTTACATCCTGTTTCCAAACATTGACAGGAAACAAATGACTAAAGGTAGGCTGTAGGTCAGGACAGTTAACATAGATGTCAAGCGGATTTCCAGGTGATTATGTGATCATACCCAGTTAAGGTAAAGTTTCTGTACAGCTCTGACGCCATTTTAGACAATTTCTACACTGCCACACCTATTTCTTCGGGAGTCTCGTAAGATAATTTCCTGCGCACTTGGTTTAGTAATAGAACGTAGGCTATTCGGTGTATACGTTATTTTTGGACGCCATTTCTTCATGGTGTAATTCATCTTTCCTGAACGTATGTAATAAAAATAGTCTCAATACAGTTTTGATGCCACTATTAGATGTTATATATTATGTTTTAGCAAGTTCCATTAGTTGAGTGCGTTGTTACATCATCAATTACGAGGAATATTATCCTTAGGAACCTCTGAGAACCTCAGCTCTCTACAGCTACAGCACTAGGGCGGGAAATATGGACCGGATGTTACGCTGAGACTCTACTGTAAGTTCAAACGTTCTTGAATGCCACTGAATGTGTAATGAAGAATCGCTCTGTCTATTGATATTGTATACACCAGCATTGTCTATTATACATGTTGAACTGCATACCTACATTGTCTATATAATTTACATACACGTAGAAACGTATACATACATTGTCTATGTACATGCTGAATCAATGTAAACTTGCTTGACGATTTTACTGAATATATTTGGGTTAGCGTTAGGTTGGTTAATCTTCAGGTGAAACAAGCTGGGGTGTCTAATCTTCAGGTGATCCTTGAATATTTTGTGGAAGGGATTCAACAACCCTCTTATAGGTCAGCACTACAAGCGACATCTCAACACCAACCACGAGAGGATATAAAGGAATAAAAGTATGGCGTTGATATCAGTTACATCCTAGTCCAATTAGGGAAACGCTTATACAGTTTTTCCACGAATACCAGAAAGAAAAGTGAAAGGGTAAAAGAAAAAATAGAAAAATTAAAAAAAATCCTTTAATTTATGACTTTTTTATATATTAAAGAAAAAAATTATATCATCAAGGCTTAAACTTATCCATAATAAATTTACCCATCACGACCGCAACTAGGAAAAATAGGTACTATAATGATGAAGGAACTATATGTCATTCAATACCCTACCAATAAATATTAAACAGTAATTATCTAGCCAAGGCGCTCACAACCTAACCTAACCTATCTCTACACACTCTTAACTGTCAAATGCCGAATGTATTAGTTGTTCAGGACTAGAGACGCCCCACTCTCCTTCCCTTCTTCCCTTTCCTCTCCAACCCCCACTCCACCCTCCTCCTTCCCCTTCCACCCCACCCACCCTCCTCCCTCCCTTCCCTCCTCAACCCGACCCCACTCCACTCCCTCCCTTCTCCCCAATGTAAACACTTCAATTAGTAAAGTCCCCGCAGCGGCAACCAAGACCATCAGTTGCTGCTCAGTCACGCACAGACCTTGGTGGTGTCGAGATAACCAAATTCCCTTAATTAAGAATGAGATGGCATTAGATAGATTTGAATGAGTCTGGCGTGTTTACCATAACATAGAGAGATAACTTTAACATACTATGGAATAATTTAATGATGTAGAGTTTTAATTAGAGGTTATTATTATACAGTATCCTTTTGTTTGGGGATAATATGGATTTTCTGTATTTATACCTGTAGTTATTTCAATATTTGTACTTCTACCTGTACCTGCCCTGATACCTGTAATTGTACCTTGCACCTGTACCTGCCCTTGTCCCTAGTAAATATAACACACTTAACGCAGAAGTAAATTACTACAAAAATATTTATTTCTTTTACCAAGACAAATTATTACAGAATATTTGCAGTTTGTTGTGGCGACGGTGTGTGTGTGTGTGTGTGTGTGTGTGTGTACTTGTATGTGTGTGTGTACGTGTGTGTGTGTGTGTGTGTGTGTGTGTGTCCAGGGAGCTGAGAATGTAAGATAGATATACAGATAAATTAGATGGATAGATATATAGATATAAATGCTTTATAAATAGAAGGAAAAAAGTACATATCTTAATAAAATCTGACAGGAAAAGGGAACCAGTGTTTCCTTTTACCTATGAGCTTTTTAATTCGTTTTATCTTCACGTCACCACCGGGAACTATAAGATGTAAACAGATAGACAGAGAGATAGGTAAAATATACATAGACGGTGCAGATAAACAATGTATATAGGCAGTGCAGGTATACATTGTACAGTATACATAGAAACATTGGTATAAAGCAGTGAACTCATGTATACTTGTTTTTTCCTCTATATCTACAAATCTATGTATGTATGTATGTATGTATGTATGTATGTATGTATTTCTCGGGTATGTATACTGTATATGTAGGCATGAATGTATTTGTGTTTGTGTGTATCCTGATGCTATTCTATGAGTATATCTATTTGTTTCTGTATCTCAAGTTTACCAATGTATCTGTAACTTATGTACACAATATCTATATTCACACCTGCAGCTGTACCTGTGTTAGATTAATTGCTGTACCTGTAGTTGTATCAGTACCTATAACAGCACGGATATTTATGTATTCATATCTGTAATTTATTTATTTTTTGTACCTAAATTCGTGTAGTCCGCCCAGGTGCAGTGTAGCCAACTCCACACGGTCCGTCAACCCTTCACACCCCCTCCCACGGGACACACAATCAATACCTAGGTTGATGTTTTGGCTTCTGGTAGTACTGATGTATTCTCTGGCTCTTGTTATGATAGAGATCTTACTACTCTTCCCTCCTTCACTCTCTACTATCCCTCTTTCTCTCCTCTTTCTCCTTCCTCTCCCTCTTTCTCGTCTCTCTCTCTCTCTTCTCCGTCTCTTCCCCTTTCCTCTCTCCGGTCCTCCCTTTCTCCTCCCACTGTACTGTTCAAGGAAGGGGAAGGAGGGGTGAGGGAAGAGGGGAATGGGAAGGGGGAGAAGGAGGAGGAGGAAAGGGGAGAAAGATGAGGAAAGAACGAAGGGGTGGAAGAGAGAAGGGAAGGGGAGGATGGAGAGGGACAGGATTGGGGAGGAGAAGAGGCAGGGTGGGGAGTGAAGAGAGGAGAGGAGGAGAGCAGAGAGAGACTGAAGGGGAGAGAAGGAGAAAGGGGGAGGAGGAGGAGGGCTGGAGGGGGTAGGGTAGAGGGGGAGGAGGAAGGAAGGGGAAGTGAACAAGAGGGGGAAGGGAAAGAAGGTGGGATGTGGAAAGGAGAGAAGAAGAGGGAGATGGAGGGGAGTAAGGATGGGAAGGGGAGATGGAGGGGTGGAAGGTAGTGTGGTTCAACAGTCTCAGGTGGTAACTATGTTTAGGTTGTCACAACAGCAGGTGTGTGTGTGTGTGTGTGTGTGTGTGTGTGATCGGGGGAGGGAGGGAGGGTACCTTGATTTATCTGTCTTACACACACACACACACACACACACACACACACACACACACATCTCAAGACTGTAAACATGTGTGCAGTAATCCCACAACACATTTAGGTCCTATTAGTCAACACCGTCAGCCATCGTCAGGTATAGGTGGCCTGCCGTCAGGGTCTCAGTTGACACGCAATGACACCTGTGTTATATCACCTGCCATTTATGTAATACTGAAGGAGTCTTATTTATAGTGTGTGTGTGTGTGTGTGTGTGTGTGTGTGTGTGTTGTGTTTTTGTTATTGTTTTTACTAT